CCAAGATGATAAAGTAAGTGGTCTACAACTCCTCAAGGGTGATCAATGGATTGATGTCCCTCCAATGAAGCACTCTATTGTGGCCAACCTTGGTGACCAACTCGAGGTACACTTTAATTTCTTGGGATAAAAAATTTATACTTTTATAAGTAATATGATAGTACTAAATAAAATAAACAAAAGATTTCTTACTTTCATACCAACATATTACGTATATTTACATTCGTGCCTCATAAATAAATATTACTTATGAATAGATTATTTCTCATAAAAATTACTTATAATTACGGAATATCATACTAGATTTAGAGGGGTGATTGTAATTTGTAAGCAACACTAAGCATCAATATTAATTTATGCAAAAATTAATAAATCGAATTGACTGTTTATTCATATATTTCTTTTTTATTTAGGATTCTAATTATGTTACAAATTAATCACAGGTGATTACCAATGGAAAATACAAAAGTGTGCTCCACCGAGTCATAGCTCAAACAGATGGAAATAGGATGTCACTTGCTTCATTCTACAATCCAGGCAATGATGCAGTTATTTATCGAGCACCAGCACTACTGGAAAAAGAAGCAGAAGAAAGAAAAGAAGTCTACCCAAAATTTGTTTTTGATGACTACATGAAACTGTATGCTGGACTTAAATTCCAGGCCAAAGAGCCAAGATTTGAACTCATGAAGAACGTGGAAGCCAATGTTACCATGGGTCCAATTGCAACTGCCTAGACTCATAGGAATAAAACGGTGCTAGGATGTTTTCTTCTCCCTCTTATGTTTTCTACTTATTATTATTATTATTTTTTATTGTGGGGGTTGTTGGTTATTCCCAGTCATTTGTTGCTCCAGAGAGGAGGGTCCTTTATACATCTGAGGGACCAAAATTTATTATGTACTAAGAATTCTAAGACAAAGAAATAAAATAAGCTATACATTTCTCCAAAATCATTTGTGACTACTGTTGCAAAGCTATATGGTTGATTGACCTAATATTTGGTTTAATTGCCTTTAAAAGTCCTTAAAATTTTCTCAATTATTAGACACTCAACATTTTACTTTAATTTATGAATGCCGGATCAATTTAGTCCTCAAATTTCTAACAAATCTGACAAATCAAATATCTGGTACTTCGAACAAAAATACAATTATGTTTGGAACTATGAATTACAATTATCAAACTTAAGAGAGAAAACTTACAGGAGCAACCGTTATCAATATGCAAGAAAAGCTAAGTTTGTCACACATAACTACTTATTTAATAGTTGTAAGATAATGATTAACATATTATACATGTTAAGCATTTAACATTAATGCATTAGTAACATGGCCGAGAACTTAAAATTGGCAATATCCTTCAAAAGCCCACTTTTTGGTGCCAAATCAGGAATAACATAAACAAGTCATCAATAGCCAAGACAAGCCAACGATTTGTTGGCTACTAGGGTTAAATGAAAAGAAAAAAAAATCATTCAACATTCACCAGATTTGCACTTTGCCACCTTCAACTTAACAAACAGGCAGTTTGCCTCTCTAGTAAATCTGGTTAGTGATTTTAATGGACAAAACTCAAAAGTCAAAAGCAAGCCAGGTTACCCTCAAGCTGACAGAAATATGGTTGATTACGAATGGTAAAAGGTTTTTAGAGTTAAATATATTTTGTAGAATCATTTAAGAACCAAATAATAATTTGGATGTAGTTTAGAGGAAAAATCAAGGTTGATTGGCAAGATAAAACAATGCTTGTAAGTTCAAGAATTCTCTATTCTCTTTTTCTTTCTTTTTTTCCTTTTTTTTTGGCGAGTTTTTTCTCGAAACATGTGTCACTATTATCCCTCATCTTTCATATATCACAAGAACAAGCAGACACACACACACATGTAATTTATACCTTTCTAGTCTTTTACTTTTCACAAGGAGCTGAATTTTGTGTGCTTCTTTCTGTGGATGGAGACACAAGTTTTCCTCTAGTAAGTATGAGGATTAAATAACCAACTACTCTAGCCACTAGAGATAGTTATAAAACTCTTCTTCAATGTAGGTCAAGGGATCATGGTCTATATTTTAAAAAATTTAGAATTATTTGAAAAAATTTCATTAGTTGGTGCTTAGGTACCTGTTTCGATTGGTGGTGATTCAGTTTCTGGCTAAAAAAAAATAAAAGTATGAGGATTAAATACTGGATTTTTATGATATAAACTGTGTATAGGTACAAGATAGGTCATAGTTTTGTCATTTATTTTATAATTAATTCACTCCTATTATCTTACCAACTGTGCATTAGTTAACGGATTCTACTCACTTTTAAAAATTTGTATTTATTGCATGGAATAGAACAAAATACCATAAAAATGTGCTAATTTGACGGTAGTTAACAGAAGAATTTGAATAGTAAAAGGGAACAAGAGTCCAAACGGAGATTGGTTCCCTTATCCAGTGGTCAACTGCGGCAGACTAGGAGAAAATTTTGGGGAACTTCCCTTTTTCTGTTTTTAGTAATTTCCAAAGAGGACGGAGGTCAGGCTCAACTAGGAGTCTTCCCTTCTATTCCTCTTGGTAGTCGGATAGGCAGTAGGAAAAAAATTGAGAAGAAAAGGGGCGCAGTCAATCTTAACTCCTTTTTGCTCTTGACTTTTTCGTCTTTTTGTGGCTATTGATTCCATCGTATGTCAGAGCAAAGGAAGAAACAATTGGTCATTCTTTTGACTTAGCAGATCTTTTGCTTATTTTTAATTGAATCGATTTTCTTCATCGCATTGAGGAACAATGTATGCTACAATTGTTTCTACGATTTCGCATGAGATTGTTCCAACAAAGATGAACTAAATCTCTTTTTCTAGTCAACGAGCAACGGATGCTTTGGTTTATCTAAAAATTGTGAGATCGAATTAATTTTATTTATTCATCTTATTTACTGGTATTTGCATATTCTCTGATTGTAGTGCTTATGGTTGTTTTATTAATTGAGTATCACGGGCCCGGACATTGAATTAATTTAGCAATCTAATGTCAATTGGAGCATTGAATCCGTAATTGTTCAATTGCTCGAAAATAGTGATAACTGGTATGATTGGGTTTGTGTCAGGAGAATATGCAGACTAATCTAAAATAACCTTGGTAGTGTGTTATTTGGTTAGAATAGAGCTCCTCTAATACGTAAGGCAATTGGAAAATTAAATCTTACAGGCGTACCTAGAATTAATTCTCGATTAGAGTAGTAATTGACGGGCGTATCTCAGTCATCGATACAGTAAGGAAGAGTTGACTGTCATCGCTTGTTTGGCAGTTATAACTTATTTATTAGTTAATAATTGGAATTATCTCTGCATCGATGATCAATTAATTTAACCATTACTGAAGTTATTTCTTGGTCAGAGTTTAGTCATTATTAATTCGAGTTTTAATAGTTTGTTATTTAATTTTTAGTTGGCTATTTACTTTTAGTCAAACAATTTAATTATTACCATTGCTATAAAAAAAACCCCATCGTTAGTGTGAATTTCAAAATAGACAAATATCCCCAATCCCTGTGGATTCGACTCTGCGTATCACTATCTGCATAAATTATATTTTGTTTGAGTAGGTATTTATTATTGTACAGGCTCGACAACCTGTCAATTTTTTGCGCCATTGTCTGGGACTGGCGTTAGTTAATTTGTTTCTTTTAAGTTCATTTTCGTTTTAATTTTCTGGTATTTTTCTAGTTTATGTCTCGGGTTTTTCGTACAGGCGAATTGATTTTTGATCCTGAAGTAGAGAAAACTACTCGTCGAACGCGAAAAGAGACCAGACAACTCAGAGAAGAGCAATCTAGTGCTGCATCTCAAAGACCTGATCCAGAAGTTGAATCAACAAGTTCGCTTGGCGATACTTCGAATGACCCGGATCGAGAAGAAATCACTATAGCTAATACACAGACATTGAGAGAGTTGGTTGTTCCTAATTTAAATCAATAACCCTTATGCATTACTTTTTCGAATTTAAATGATAACACCCTGTTTGAATTAAAATCTGGGCTAATTCATCTTTTACCATCTTTTCATGATTTACCAGATGAAAAGCCTTATAAGCACTTGCAGGAGTTCGATGTTATTTTCAACAGTATGAAACCCCCGAAAATTATGGAAGAACAGATAAAAATGAGAGCATTCCCCTTCTCTCTTAAGGACTTAGCAAAATACTGGCTGTACTACCTATCTCTAGACAGTATCACCACGTGAGAGCAGCTGAAGAAAAAATTTTAGAAAAAATATTTTCCTGCATCTTGAGCTGCAAGTCTGAGAAAGGAGATACGCGGTATCAAGCAATATTCACGAGAGTCGCTCTATGATTACTGGAGAAATTCAAAAAGTTATACATCAAATGCTCTCAACACCAAATAAGCAAGGAATTGCTTATCCAATATTTTTACGATGGGCTAATTTTCAGAGACAGGAGTATTATTGATGCTGCAAGTAGAAGGGCGTTGGTGAACAAGACTTCTCGAGAAGCATGAGAGTTGATTGAAGAGATAGCCGAAAACTCCCAGCAATTCGATATAAGAGAAGATATTCCGATACACTCCCAGATATCCTTTATCCAATAGCAGTTATCCGAATTAACATCTTTTATTAGGCAATTGACTGTAGGAAATCTTCCACAAGCCAAGGTGTGTGGGAATTGCACTGCTATAGGTCACTATACAGAGATGTGCCCAATGATTCAAGAAGAAAGTGTCGAGTAAGTAAACATGGTTGGTTACGTGCCCGCGCCGAGAAAGTCATATGACCCGTACTCGAACACATATAATTCGGGTTGAAAAGATCACCCTAACTTTAGTTATGGAGGAAATAGGCAATCAAATTTTGCATTGAATAAACAGCAAGGGTATCAACAGTAGTATCAACCTCACCTGCCATCATCTTCTCTAAGCTCAAACCTATCTCTAGAAGAAATGATGAAGCAGTTAATTTTTAGTCAACAAAAGATAGATTCTGACCTATAAAATATAAGGAATCAAATGGAACAGTTCAAGCAATGCAACCCACTTCGTAGTTGAAAGTGTTCTTGTGCAAGAATTTCCCTATTATAATTCAATTCCTCAATAATAAACCGATTTCGATTATCATTATCCAATAGCATATCAGGAAATGGGATTCCAGGAAATTCTTTCAAACTTCTACTATTTCGATTGAGAATTTTTTCAATTTCATAAAGTGCATAATTCTTTATTTGGGAATCACTGAAAGATATAAAATTATCTCCGAGTATACGACGTTGTCGATAGGATATGTCATCAGAAAGAAATTCCCAATTTTTCTCCCATAAATCTAATGGATTAGATACCTCACAAAATAATAACATGGTCACAAATAATTCACGTAATTGCTGACCTGTTTGCCAATTTGCTGCTTCTCTTATAGCATTATGCCATTCTTCATCACCACCCAATAATCCCAACGCTTGACATGCCGCTTTAAACGTTGGATGCACGACTCCGTTAATTGTCCTAATCTCCTCAAATGATCTTGGACCTTTGACAATGTTCAATAACATGCGTAAGTAGAATCTTTCTCCAGTTGAAGGATGAGCATAAAAAATTCTACCTATTGATCGACCAGACTTCCGTTTAACCCATTTTCTCAGCTTCTTTTTCCATGTCCATTGTGTAGGAAAATCTGCATAAGTCAACTGTTGAGCAGATGTATCTATGGAATTCGTTTTCATCCATTCAATGAACATTGTACTATGTTCTTCTGCTCTGTTTAATACTTCATCCAAAGGATCATTATCACCAAATAGCACTGGCTGTTCATTTGGAAGATGAAAATTTAATCTTTGAACGGCAATACTCCGATATTGGATGTCAAAATCAAATATTCTCCAGCAAGCCTCTGATGCTGATATATATCGCAATCTAGATATTTTTTTATCTCATCCACTTCACGAACAACTCGTGTTCCACTCTGTCCATCAGTTGCATCATTTTCCTCAATGACAAAAGTGGCTCTATCATATCCTTTATTCACATATTTGAATAAATATTTTATAGACCTGCTTTGATTGCACAATTCAACACAAACATGTCCCCAATATTTGACAACCAAATCAACATTATGAGGAACGATCCATCGATTATCAATTTTCACACCAGCTTTAATACCTTCTCGTCCATTGTCCCTTCTCCTATACACTGGAAAACCTTTTTCATCAATTATTGTTTCGGTCTGAAAATATTTGGGATAATGTTTACTGCACTTTCCATTTTCCATACACGGTGACCTTGTATTAGCTGGTCCACATGGTCCGTGTGTCATAAATTGTAAAACTGCTTCATAAGCTATTGGATCAGTATTCTTATCTGGCAGTTCGGCTGAAATGATTCGATCAACATCTCTTGGTGTAGTGCACTTATCATCTGGATGTAAGAATAACAGAATATGCGCATGGGGCAACCCTCTCTTTTGAAACTCAATTGTATATAATGCTGTACAAAGTATAAGTATATGAAATGAAATGAGAATTTGATATAAATTAAATATTTTTGAAAAAATAAATAAAATATTTTGTTAGATCAAATACCTGCCATCACCTTGCCAAAATGCTGTCCATGTGTTAAATCATTCATAAATTGATCTAATTTTATGTGAAAAACACGTGCAACGATATCAGGTCGATCCACAACTTTTTGATCAGGTATCAAACTTATGCCCTTGCTGATTTCTGGCCAATTAGAATTGCATGTGAAAGTAATGAAAAGATCAGGAGGACCCATGAATCTACATATTGCCATTGCATCTTGATAATTTTGAACCATATATCTTGGTCCACCGGTAAAAGTTGAAGGCAAAACCAACCGTTTTCCTGCTGATGCAGGTGTCGTATCACCTCGTACGTATCTTGAATGTACGTATCTTGAACGCTGAAAGCTCCAAGCCAAGGCTAAGGGAAAAATGTTTAGTAACATATCTTGAATTTTTTTTTTAATTTTCTGTTTGTTTGCCTTGGCTTGGAGCTTTCAGCGTTCAAGATACGTACATTCAAGATACGTACGAGGTGATACGACACCTGCATCAGCAGGAAAACGGTTGGTTTTGCCTTCAACTTTTACCGGTGGACCAAGATATATGGTTCAAAATTATCAAGATGCAATGGCAATATGTAGATTCATGGGTCCTCCTGATCTTTTCATTACTTTCACATGCAATTCTAATTGGCCAGAAATCAGCAAGGGCATAAGTTTGATACCTGATCAAAAGTTGTGGATCGACCTGATATCGTTGCACGTGTTTTTCACATAAAATTAGATCAATTTATGAATGATTTAACACATGGACAGCATTTTGGCAAGGTGATGGCAGGTATTTGATCTAACAAAATATTTTATTTATTTTTTCAAAAATATTTAATTTATATCAAATTCTCATTTCATTTCATATACTTATACTTTGTACAGCATTATATACAATTGAGTTTCAAAAGAGAGGGTTGCCCCATGCGCATATTCTGTTATTCTTACATCCAGATGATAAGTGCACTACACCAAGAGATGTTGATCGAATCATTTCAGCCGAACTGCCAGATAAGAATACTGATCCAATAGCTTATGAAGCAGTTTTACAATTTATGACACACGGACCATGTGGACCAGCTAATACAAGGTCACCGTGTATGGAAAATGGAAAGTGCAGTAAACATTATCCCAAATATTTTCAGACCGAAACAATAATTGATGAAAAAGGTTTTCCAGTGTATAGGAGAAGGGACAATGGACGAGAAGGTATTAAAGCTGGTGTGAAAATTGATAATCGATGGATCGTTCCTCATAATGTTGATTTGGTTGTCAAATATTGGGGACATGTTTGTGTTGAATTGTGCAATCAAAGCAGGTCTATAAAATATTTATTCAAATATGTGAATAAAGGATATGATAGAGCCACTTTTGTCATTGAGGAAAATGATGCAACTGATGGACAGAGTGGAACACGAGTTGTTCGTGAAGTGGATGAGATAAAAAATATCTAGATTGCCGATATATATCAGCATCAGAGGCTTGCTGGAGAATATTTGATTTTGACATCCAATATCGGAGTATTGCCGTTCAAAGATTAAATTTTCATCTTCCAAATGAACAGCCAGTGCTATTTGGTGATAATGATCCTTTGGATGAAGTATTAAACAGAGCAGAAGAACATAGTACAATGTTCATTGAATGGATGAAAACGAATTCCATAGATACATCTGCTCAACAGTTGACTTATGCAGATTTTCCTACACAATGGACATGGAAAAAGAAGCTGAGAAAATGGGTTAAACGGAAGTCTGGTCGATCAATAGGTAGAATTTTTTATGCTCATCCTTCAACTGGAGAAAGATTCTACTTACGCATGTTATTGAACATTGTCAAAGGTCCAAGATCATTTGAGGAGATTAGGACAATTAACGGAGTCGTGCATCCAACGTTTAAAGCGGCATGTCAAGCGTTGGGATTATTGGGTGGTGATGAAGAATGGCATAATGCTATAAGAGAAGCAGCAAATTGGCAAACAGGTCAGCAATTACGTGAATTATTTGTGACCATGTTATTATTTTGTGAGGTATCTAATCCATTAGATTTATGGGAGAAAAATTGGGAATTTCTTTCTGATGACATATCCTATCGACAACGTCGTATACTCGGAGATAATTTTATATCTTTCAGTGATTCCCAAATAAAGAATTATGCACTTTATGAAATTGAAAAAATTCTCAATCGAAATAGTAGAAGTTTGAAAGAATTTCCTGGAATCCCATTTCCTGATATGCTATTGGATAATGATAATCGAAATCGGTTTATTATTGAGGAATTGAATTATAATAGGGAAATTCTTGCACAAGAACACTTTCAACTACGAAGTGGGTTGAATGAGCAACAGCTACAAGTGTATAATGCAGTCATTCATGCTGTTGATTATGGTCTCGGTGGTCTCTTTTTTGTTTATGGTAGTGGAGGAACAGGAAAGACTTATTTGTGGAGAACTATAATTGCTCGATTACGTTCACAAGGCAAAATAGTTTTGGTGGTAGCATCTTCTGGTATAGCTTCTCTATTGCTGCCTGGTGGAAGGACAGCTCATTCGAGATTTAAAATTCCTATAATTATAGACGGTGATTCTACTTGCGCAATATCACAGGGATCACAATTGGCTGAGTTAATTTGTAAGGCATCATTGATTATTTGGGATGAAGCTGTAATGTTACATCGAAATATTTTTGAAGCGGTTGATAGAACATTTAGGGATATCTTACGCTTTCATGATCCTGACTCTGCGCACAAAGTTTTTGGTGGCAAAACTATGTTACTTGGTGGTGATTTCAGGCAAATTCTTCCTGTTGTACCCAAAGGGGTAGAACTGAAATTGTTGCTTCATCAATTAATCGATCTTCTTTGCTTTGGGGTCATTGTCATTTATATCTATTATCTTTGAATATGCGTATACGAGGTAATGACATGCATTCAGATTCTGTTGAAAGTTTAGAAGAATTCAGCAAATGGATTTTAGATTTGGGTGAAGGAAAATTACCAGCTATTTCCTTTGATGATGAAGACGAATCTACTTGGATAGAGATTCCTGATGATCTACTCATTCCTCAGGATACTGACTGCATACACCGCATTATTGATAGTACGTATCCTGATCTATTGGCTAATTATAATAATGCTTCATATCTTCGCAATAGAGCTATTCTTGCCCGACCAATGATGTTGTTGATGAAGTAAATTCTGTTATTCTATCATCCATTCCTGCCATTCCAGGATATACTTAAGTGCTGATAGAATCTGTCCCACCTCTGATTGCGGACTTGAGCAAGCTTCTTTATACCGGTTGAGTTTTTGAATACACTTAAATTCTCTGGAATTCCAAATCATTCAATTGAGTTAAAGGTTGGAATTCCAATTATTCTGCTACGCAATATGAATCAGAGTCGGGGTCTATGCAATGGTACACGGTTGATAATTACAAATCTGGGAGATAACATCATAGAAGCTGAAATGATTACAGGGTCAAGTATAGGGACAAGATTTTTCATTCACAGGATTGACATGACTCCTACGGATTCAAAATGGCCTTTTGTGATGATTCGACGTCAGTTTCCTATTAAGGTTTGTTTTGCTATGACAATAAATAAGAGTCAAGGCCAAACTTTTGATAACGTTGGAGTGTACTTGACAAAACCTGTATTTAGTCACGGCCAATTATACGTTGCTGCTTCTCGAGTAACCTCCCGTCAAGGATTGAAGTTTTTGATCAAGGATGATCGAAATCCGGAAAATCGTCGTACAAGAAATATTGTTTATCGAGACATATATGATAATTTACACATTGGTATAGGTTAAATTCTAAAGCTTGATTTATAATTCATGCGTATGCAATTTTGTTTGTTTTTATTTATGCGCTTATTAATCATATATTCAAGTATTTAGTTTAGATACATATATGCAATTATTTTATAAGTTGGTGAATTTTGGTAGCAGACACAAGTTCGTTACAATGAATTCAAGCCACAAGCTCTTGAATCAGTTGACAGTGGGATTTGATTCCAAGAAAATCAAGGTTAGAGTGACGCGCATGTGGGATGCCATTAACACAAATACTGGTGATGTGTTTGCTCTTGAAATGGTACTGCTCGATGAAAATGTAAGTACCATCATTCATCCATCTATGACTGATTTCAGTTAAATTTGTTTCTTTCATGACAATTTTTTCCTAATCTATGATGTCTGAATTGTTTTAGGATAATCATATGGTAGCTATTGTACCAAAAAATTTGGTACAAAGGTTTCGACCACAACTACTTGAGGGAGATGTCTATATTTTGGAGAAATTTAGAGTGACACCAAGAAAACAATCTTGGAATGTTGTGCACAATGAGCATAATATTTATTTCACTTATACAACTCTGGTGAAAAAGCTTGATGGTCGAATGAGTTCAATAAAATTTCACAAATTTGAATTCATCGACTTCAATGACCTCTCTTCACGATGTCAAGTTTTTACATTCTTATCAGGTATGACGTAATAAGTTAATAGGGTAAATACTACTTTTAGTTTTATTTATTTGAAAGTAGTGATTCCTAGATAACTATATGTGTTTATACTTATTTATTTGTGTGTAATATAGATGTGGTGGGAAGACTTTCTAAAGTGGGACCAATTTATGAAGTTTCGAAGAGTAATGGAACTGTAAAAAACGAGATATTGCAATTACTAATAAAAGGTACTTGCTGCTTTTTTTTTTTAAATTTAGTCTGCTAAATAAATTAGTTATAATATGAAGATCAGCTCATATTCTTATTTGAACAATTATTTTTGAGTAATTTCTATTCAAGTATTAATTTTGAGTGCTTTATATTGAAGTGGTGAAAGCATTAATGTCACATTATGGGGAACAACATCGAATCAATTTGATGATGAGACTATTTTGGTGTCTGATCAACCATTAGTGTTTGTGATCTCTTCAGTGACAGTTAAACAATTCAGAGGTAATGATATAAACATCATGCTGAAACTCTCATAGTAAACATATTGTTATTTCTTTTCATTAGCATTCTTAATGGACCTCACGATAAATTGTTACTCAGGCTCATACTATCTGTCATCAACAACTGCCACACGAGTATATATGAATCTAAATATTTCTGAAGTTGCAGATTATTTGAATTGGTAAAGCTATATCTTTATTAAATGTTTGTTTAATATTTTCATATATATTGTATATAAGTAATTAAGATAAAATTGTTATTAGCATTGATAGCACTGCTCCTCAAACTATTGAGGTTTTACATCCTCCAAAGACGCGAGAAGCTATACAGCAACTAATGTTCAAGAATCGAAAATTATTATCAGAGATATATCAGATAATGGCCGGTGTTCAAACAGAGGTATAATTAAAGTTACAAGTTACAATTATAGCACATTAGTTTTCACAATTAAAAATATTTATTATTTAAATTGACTGCTTAGATCTTTTCATTTCTCTAGGAATTGGTTTACACTTCCAAAGTGACAATTCTGAAAGTTGATTTCAATAGTCAACTGTACTACAAAGCATGTCCGAAATGTCAGAGAAAAGTGACATTACAAGGATCTAATTTTGTGTGCAATGCTTGCAATCAAAATGTGGAGTATCCTAAATTGAGGTATGTCGTAGGTGTTAACCTTTTATCATTTTAATTGCTACAATATCTACATAAATATAACTTTTAGAATATGTGTATTTATACAGGTATATGTTAAAAGTCTTGGCAAGTGATGCAACCGGTAGTGCTTGGTTTGTTATATTTGATCAAGAGGCTGAAAGAATAATAGAACACAAACTTTCTTTTGTTCTTGAAGAATTTAATAAGGTAAACTTATATCTAATTTTTGAGAGTTTTTAATAATAGTAGACAATCCGACACTTATCTTAGCCGTTGCACATGGAATTCAAAGTGCCATGGATATTTTGCTGGAGTTTCAAAATTCATCAAGAACTGGAAAAACCTCTGCCAATGTCATTGGTAAGAGAATTCAAAATAAAATGGTGGACTGGATTCAATCAAGAATTTGGAGATCAAACTAATGTGATCAGATTCCTGACCACTGGAGACAAATTAAAGTGGACAGCTACTACCACTACTCAAAAGGAGACAAGACAGTCAACAATCATTCCAACCACTACACCAACTCCACTCACTCCAAAAAGAGACAAAGAAAAGGTGACGGAAATGGCATCCGAAGAAACAGCCAGTAACTTTTTAATAAAGCAAATCATGCAGAATCCCGAGATGCTGAAAGAATATCTGAATTATTTGCAAAAGCCAAAAGAAGAAGACAAAATAGAGGAGCCAGCAGGATCATCAGAATCTACTTTTGATCCTTTTGATGATCCCATCGGTGGACAAAATCCAAACGACTTTTGAAAAAGATGTCGGCCACCACAAATGAAAGCAAAATTAAAATTCAAATGAAATGCAGAATTGAGCCTCTATAAATAGATTCAAGATTCAGAAGACAGGCATCGGCAAAAAAATATCAGAAGTTGTAATAGACTTGTCTTAGTTTTCCTACTACTCCCACTTACTCTTAGTTCTCCTACTATTCCCACTCACTCTAAAATAACCATTGTACTCAAAGTCTTTGTAGAAGTGGATTTCATCATTACAATAAAGTCTTCAAGGTTGGAATTCATTACAAGCTTCCGTTAGTCACTCAACAATCAAAAGTAAGTCCAACTACTTATGTTTATTGCACTTCAAAACCTGGGTTAGAAGTGGTATCAGAATTCGCTACTAAATTTCCAGATGAGATAAAAGAGAAAAATCAATTACAAAGATTTTTAGGATGCTTAAATTATATAGCAGATTTCTTTCCTAAATTAAGACAAGAATGTTCTATATTATTTAATAGATTAAAGAAAAACCCAAAACCTTGGACAGAAGAACATACTCAAAAAATAAAATATTTAAAAGCAAAAATAGAATCATTACCATGTTTATGCCTACCCCATCCTAAAGCATTCATGATAGTTGAAACAGATGCTTCAGAATTAGGATACAGAGGAATATTAAAACAAAAAATAGATAATTCAAAAGAAGAATTAGTTGCATAATACTCTGATACCACTTCTAACCCAGGTTTTGAAGTGCAATAAACATAAGTAGTTGGACTTACTTTTGATTGTTGAGTGACTAACGGAAGCTTGTAATGAATTCCAACCTTGAAGACTTTATTGTAATGATGAAATCCACTTCTACAAAGACTTTGAGTACAATGGTTATTTTAGAGTGAGTGGGAATAGTAGGAGAACTAAGAGTAAGTGGGAGTAGTAGGAAAACTAAGACAAGTCTATTACAACTTCTGATATTTTTTTGCCGATGCCTGTCTTCTGAATCTTGAATCTATTTATAGAGGCTCAATTCTGCATTTCATTTGAATTTTAATTTTGCTTTCATTTGTGGTGGCCGACATCTTTTTCAAAAGTCGTTTGGATTTTGTCCACCGATGGGATCATCAAAAGGATCAAAAGTAGATTCTGATGATCCTGCTGGCTCCTCTATTTTGTCTTCTTCTTTTGGCTTTTGCAAATAATTCAGATATTCTTTCAGCATCTCGGGATTCTGCATGATTTGCTTTATTAAAAAGTTACTGGCTGTTTCTTCGGATGCCATTTCCGTCACCTTTTCTTTGTCTCTTTTTGGAGTGAGTGGAGTTGGTGTAGTGGTTGGAATGATTGTTGACTGTCTTGTCTCCTTTTGAGTAGTGGTAGTAGCTGTCCACTTTAATTTGTCTCCAGTGGTCAGGAATCTGATCACATTAGTTTGATCTCCAAATTCTTGATTGAATCCAGTCCACCATTTTATTTTGAATTCTCTTACCAATGACATTGGCAGAGGTTTTTCCAGTTCTTGATGAATTTTGAAACTCCAGCAAAATATCCATGGCAC